TTTTTCTCCGGTACCGGGAACCGAACTCACGACCTTGCGCTTGCCAGGCAGGCGCTTTTGCCGCTGAGCTAAATCCCCAGCCCCCATCTGAGAGACTCTTGAGGTTGAGAACAGGAAGGATTTCACTAGGTATGGTGATGCTACCTGTAATCTCAGTACTCTGGGAAGCTGAGGCAGAAAGATCTTGAAAGTTTGAGCTCAGCCCACTCAGCTTACTGACAGTGAGACCCTGTGTCAGAATTAAAAAGATAAAAAGTACAAAGGGCTGGGGATGCAGTTGAGTGAAGCCCTTTGATCAATCTTTAGTACTGGGAGGGGAAAAAACCCTAGGAGGATTTGAAGGTCAGATAATTCTCGCCATTTGTAATTGTTTTCTTACCTGTTCACATGATAATAAATTTGACTAAAATTTTTATTTAAACATAATTCACTTCATTTAAATCAACTCAGCTTAAAAGCTTAAATAAAAACTTTAATCCCACCTGATTAAATTTCTGTCTCAAGCTGGGGCCTAAGTCCGTTTTTCTTTTTTTGAAAAGGGAGATTGTGTTGAAGATAACAGCAGTAAACTGAATCTTTCTGGCTCCAGTATTCTGTATGATTGCACGCTAATTACAAGGCGTTTCTTTCGACTGAAGAAATGTCTGCTGTTGTCTAAGTAGCCTGTGACTCTGTTCTCTGGTATAATCTGCTGTTGATTTGGTCCAAGCTCTTTATTTACAAATGGATAAACTGAGGCCTGCCAGGTGCATCTGGCTTGTGGTTTATACTAAGCCCTTCTAAACTCTGCAGCCACCTAAATCCATCACCTTCTGCGGCCCCCTTTCCTCTAACAGCAAAAGTCAGGAATGACCTTTTTTTTTTCTTCTGGTACTGGGATTCAAACTCAAGACCTTGTGCTTTCCAGACAGGTGCTTGTGCCGCTGAGCTATATCCCTGGCTGTCTTGATAAATGTTTTCCTCGTAGTTTACAGAAATGAACGTGGTGCCTGGAGATGGGGGGAGAACTCTCCTATCTCCTGGGTGACTTGGAGTTGAAGATCCATATTTGTGGGTTTTGGCAGAGGGGTGCTTTTATTAATGTTGAGTTCTTTGCTATATTTGGAAGTAAAAGGCAGCTCACAAATTCATGTTATCTTGAAAGTGGAATGTGAGCATTGCATTAGGAACGTATTGATTTTTCATCCAGTTTTCTGAAGTTGTAGAGCGGTTTGGTTATGTTTTTCACAGCGACATGATGGGTGTGGTGGGAGTTGGGAGTCTGTGACGAAGGAGCACTGCAGAGTGTTCGCGCGGGCAGCTGCCCGCTGTGGCCCGTGTTGCCTCTGCTGCATTCACGGGACTCATTCGGGGTGCAGCTGAGCTTGGCAGCAGTTAGCATTTGCAGGCTCCTACAAGTGTGTTTTTCTTT